TAAGAAATATTTGTTTATTTAGTATTTGGAAGCATTTTTGAATAATATATCACAATAATTGAATTTTTTTTAAACATAAACAGGAGAAAAACATCTTGCGGAAGTGTACCATCTTCATTTGCTGATAAAATATTGTAAAATATAGAAAGATTTGAAAAGTACTCGGCAATTAAAATTCGTAAACAGACGCGTTTAAGCTTACAGCGTGTTTTGATTGCTATGTTTAGGTTTGTTTTGATTTGGTTTGGTTTGTTGGCTCATTTTTGTTTATTTTCGTTTTTTCTCGGTACGGTATCGATGTCTAAATTACAGTATCTACTAAGTTATGTTCATACCTACACAAGAAAAGTGTTTAGAATGTAAAGCAGGAACACGTTTTCATGTAACTGATTTCAGTTATTCTAAAGTCGGAAAAAAGGAGAATGATGCATTTCCGCAGAGAAATTTTTATGATTTTGTTTGAGGAGGCTTCTATATACTGGATATTTTGTTGTTTTTTTTATAAGCTATTTCAAATAAAAAACTTGAACCGTTTTTTTTTTTTCTTACAATCAATAATATTTCAAAATCCCGATCCTGATGCTACGCCAATGATCCCTGCATCACTTTTTTACGTTACTACTCGATCGATTATAACACAGTAGTGCACAGTAGGCTTATCGCAGAATTACGTACGTACATGACGATAAATATATCGAAAAATTGCGTAAACTTAGACGACAGTGCGACACGAGAGCTTAGAATGGCACGTGTTTGTTTAAAAATAATCCATTCAGATAAAAAACGAAAATTCGGAAGTGTTGGCCAACGATTTCCCGCGATGCCAATAGCCGTATCGAAGGCAGGGGAAAAAAATCTGACCAAGGTTCGTGCCGTTACAACAGGCACAATATGGCCCAGATTGAGATATGCAATCGTTGTAGTTAATATAGGAAATAATATTATAGAAGAAATAAGAAACTGGTCAGGCTATAAAACACTGGAGAGCTTTCCCAGTAAATATATCCAAGGATGTTTCGTTTTTCCAGGAGGAAATAACGACAATCCATTATTGTTTGGAAGAAATAATAATGCAGGAAAGATTACACAGTTCACAGAAAGCCAAGCGTTACTAGAGGCACTCAATTCCATTATAAAGTTCCAAGTTCTTGAGTTCCTCTTTGAGTTGGTTTCCAGAATGGTTCTGGTCCAGCTAATGGAGTGTTCACTCCATTTTTAAGTATCATCTTAAGTGCTTTGAATGAAACCATAACCCTTCACAGATTAGTAATTTGGTCAGTTGCCATCTTCACAGGCAGCCAAGCAGAGCTAACGGCACTCGGATCCATGGAGGTCAATTCTAGACTAGTATGAGATCGTTTGCGTGCTCTAAATCCAGTGCTCAAAAGGTCAAGAACCCTTCTGGGTTACTGCAAAGAAATTACAAAAATGGCAACAACACAGTGGTTGGCAACAAATGTTCAGATTGGTGCAAAATTCAACCAGGTGAGAGACAGACGTAATAGTTCATAGTAGAACACTAGCTAAAATTTACTCTAGTCTGTTTATTAGAATTGAATCATTAATTGTTGATAGGATTGGCAGACTAGAGATGTGCAGATTATGTCAATCAAAAGAAGAAACGGTAGAAAAAATTCTGTCAGTACAATAGCCTGACAAGTGTGTTTTTTTTTTGTACTAGGTAATGAAAAGCCATTGACAAAAAGAAATATGGAAGGTTTAGTTTTCCAAGTTATTAGACTTCTCCAAAAGGATATGACTGAAAAATTTAAGCTAGAAATAATAAGGGAATTATAACAGATCTGTAAAGATCACAATGGAACATCTATACTACTTTGCTCGTGGAACAAAATATGCATCATCATTAAAAAACGACCGAAAAAAATTAGAGTGGATACGATCCAGGTAATAGATTTCATTCACAGAATCAAATCGCTCAAGTGGCATTGAGCAGGACACCTGGCAAAAAGGATGGACCACTGATATTGGCAGGACAAAAGCTGACAGCAAGAGACCACAATATTATCAATATAATATATATTATCGGCTTCTCTTTTTGATAAAGTGTACCGATAAGTAGCAATATCACTTAATTGATAGTTAATTTATCTAAATATAGTACAGATAAAACGTCTTTTTAATCTATCAAGTACCGTATGATCGAAAAAACGGCGTCAGCGATGCCTATGAAATGAAGATTGCTGTTATTTTATATGTAACATTATATGGGGAATGTCATCGATATTCATTTCCAAGCCAACTGAACGCCGTTTTATTTCGGTCATACGGTATGTGAAGCTGATTAGAGAAACTAAGAAAAAATTTGAAAAGCCAAATTGTAAAAAAATATTGATCATCTATTAATTATGTCACATTATTACTCAAAAATATAGTAGTAAACATGAACCAAAATTATCTTCATGCTTTATCAGATTACAGGTCATAGTCACCAGATTTCTGTAATACCCAACAAACAAATTATAACAAAAATTGGAGTGCTTGGAGTATTTTACACATCAAAATTTATAACTAGGCTAGATTCATGACCTTTATAGTATTTTTTCGAGGAAATATACTGTTCAGATTTGAAAAATCGTTTTTCTAATGAATATTTCATAATAATTATCTCAAATTAATAATCTGTCAAATTATAGAGATTTAGAAAATTATCAGTAGTAATTAATTTATAGGAAAAAAATGTAAACCTACACAGATATAATTCTTATGAAAAATTTAAAGTTATTCATTTAAATGTCTTTCTTTCCAAAAGATGGAATAAAAAGATTATTTTGAAATAAATATTTCATAATAATGTGACATAGTTTTTCTGTAATGTGTTTAAATATGGTAGAGATAACGTCAGTGACTTATCAGAGTCAGAATCATATAACTTTTTGATTAAAAAACTATAATCCTTGTGAAAAAAATGTATGTTCTTCAGTATAGGAGTATTTTGTATACGTAATGTGTATCTAAAAATTGGTTATTATCATTATTGGTCCATTTAATGAATGTTTGAGAAATATGCAGTGAATTTGTAGAATTAGCTTATTCAAAAGATTATTTTTATCTAAATATGGTATGTTTGTACCTTCAACATACTAGTAATCCTTAAAATAATTATATGTTCATTCATATAGAAGCATTTTCGATTGTACTCTAATTTTACTTTTAGTTATTAGTAAATATTAACTATTCCATTCCGTGTTCAATTCTTTTTCAAAAATAAAAACAGTAAAACAGTAATTTCATGATTGTATCACATCGTTATTTAGTAATTAGTCTAAATATGGTAAAAATTGATAACCAAAGTAGTTGTTTCACTTTTAATCAGTATCATTTATTACAAATGTGTTAAAGTAACTGATAGACATCGATATCACCTTATTTTTGAGTTAACACAGCTACATATGGTCGAGATCAATGTTTCTATCTCTATAACCTATTAAAAGAAATAATCTTTCAAGTTTCTATAATATCAAATAAACAAATTGTAATAAAAAACCTCGACATTAGTGTTTTTTTACGAAATTATGGAGCTGTACAGTGAAAATGAACGTTTAAAATGACTATATCATGATAATATCGCATAGAAAGTCTATTAATGACCTAAATATAGTAAGGGGCATGTTTGTGTGACTTAGAAACATGCAACAATAACTTCTTCAAGATCAATTTCAGGAAATATATAAGAATTTCAAGATTATATCGCATGGTTCTTTGGTAATTCATCACAATATGGAACAGATGAAGGACTATATCCCTAACATCTTTCAACAGAAGTGAATTACGAAGTTTCTATACTAACCAATAAACAAATTCTAATAAAAACCATTCATTTAGTGTCTTTTTACAGAATTATAGAGCCAAACATTGAACATAATCATTTAAAAGGATTATTTCATAATAATACCACCGTACATAAAACTCAGTTTTATGTACGGTGGTATTATTACCACCTTAAAACTGAGTTTTATGTACGGTGATAATACCGCATAGCAATTCAATTAATGACATAAATATGGTAGAGATAAAACAATAAAAAACGAAATCATCTCCGGATGAATCAACCGAAATAATCTATCAAATTTCCGAAATAAATGATGAACAAATTATAAGAAAAACCGGTCATTGGGTATGTTTTTTACAAAATTATACAGCCAAACAGTGTAAAATGATTATTTCATAAAAATATCGCATAGCAAGTCCATTAATGGCCTAAATATGGCAAGGAAGTGTTTATGACTTTGAAACATGCAACAACAACTAAACTCAGTTATTATTCATCTTCTTCAAGATCAATTTCAGAGAATATCTAATAATTTCATGATTATTTCACATGGTTTTTCGGTAATTCATCTCAATATGGTACAGACGAAGGACTATATCTCTAAAATCTTTCAACAGAAGTGAATTACGAAGTTTCTATAATAACCAATAATCAAATTGTTATAAAAACCATACATTTAGTGTCTTTTTTACAAAATTATAGCGCGGAACATTGAACATACTCGTTTAAAAGGATTATTTCATAATAATACCGCATAGCAGTTCAATTAATGACATAAATATGGTAAAGATAAAACAATAAGAAACTAACTCATCTCCGGATGAATCAACCGAAATAATCTATCAAGTTTCCATAATTGATGAACAAATTATAAGAAAAACCCTGTTTTTTACAAAATTATACAGCCAAACAGTGACCATACTCGAGTAAAATGATTATTTCATAAAAATATCGCATAGCAAGTCCAATAATGACCTAAATATGGTAAGGAAAGGTTTGTGACTTATAAACATGCAACAATAACTTCTTCAAGATCAATTTCATGAAATATCTAATAATTTCAAGATTACATCACACGATTCTTCGGTAACTCATCTAAATATGGTATAGGTTCAACCAAAAACAACTCCCCATTTCACTTCCAAACCCTTTTACTCATAGATCAACCTCCTCCGCGTCACTAGTCACGTAGCCCTCCTCGAATACCCACCTGCAACATCTCCGATCTCCCATCGTTGCTCTCCGTGTCCAGATCGGACACCTGGATGGCACAATCATCCTCCGAAGTACCGGCAAAGTCCGACACCACGCTAGAGCCGCAGCTGTTGCCCGAATCGTCGTAGGGCTGCAGCATGAGGGCCTGCATCGTCTCGGCCGAGGCGCTTTGGCGCGTCTTCATCATGTCGCTGCTTCCTGCAACAGGCTGTAGCGGGCTCACACTCGCGAACGCACTCGATCAGGGGGTTTGGAGTCGCTGGAAGCACTAGCGCACGCGAACACAGCGCTCGCAGGACTGAATGAACGGACGGGACGAGCGAGTTGTGGAAAAGCTGTTGCTGCTGTTGTTTTACTGCGGCCTGCTCGATGCCGGTGCGGGGTTCTGGACAGTTCGAGAGGCGCGTCGGTGGCGGTGTTGCCAGATTTGACAAACCTAATTCGCAGGGAAATACAGGGTCGCTTTTATGTATGGAAAGGGTCGATGATTAGGTGAAATATAGGAGGTACCGCAAAAAGTTAAATACAAAAATTATAGGATTTTTTAATATCTATTAGCGAGTAATAAATTTAAGTATACAGGGTCGTTCATAAAGTCGTGGCACATAAAAGTTTCATTTTTTTAAATGGAATCCCCTGTACAGGATGGGTCAAAGTCGACACTTTAAATGGAAACACGCTTTTCTATAGGAGATAGACGAAAACTAATATCGGTGTCTGGAGCTCAATTTTCATCAAAAATATGATGGTGAAAACCGCACATCAATATCTGTTACCGTTTCGGAGTTATGGGGTGTTTTTTAAAAATGTGCATTTTTAACAAATCGCTGTAACTTTTTTGCTATGGAAAATTTTGTATTTCTATGAAAACATTTCCAAGGCACCTTTTTACGTAGAATTTAATGGTTTAAGTATAATTTTTTTAAAATTAATAATTTAAGAGTAATCATCAGAAAAATTGTTTTTTTATTTGGGACACCCTCTATATTTTTAATTAACTGAAAAGAATTTAAAATTACCTTTCCAAAAATATAGCACACTTGATATTTTGTTATAATCCCCTGCGAAATACAGAATTTTTAAAAGTTCGCCACTTTTAACTAGTAGGCTTTGGACCCCTTATTGATGATATGCCCTTAATGGAACTCAAAAACATATTTTTCCAGCAAGGCGACGCACCGCCTCTGAACGCTGAATCAGCAAACTCTTGCAGCCAATTTCAAGAATAATTGAATAGCTAACCAAGATCCCAGCCGTTGGCCGTCGAGGCCGCCTGACTTAGTGCCCATGGATCTAATCCTATAGATATATTTGCGGAAAAATAAAGGTTCCTAATTCTTCCGTATCATCTAGACAAGAATTATAAATACTTATTATTGTTATTAAATATAATTTAAACGTGTTGATGTTGGTTAAATATATTTTAAATTGTTATAAAATTCTGCATCTCTCATAGCAAATATTATTTTCGTTTTAATTGATGCTCACAACTAGAATTTTTTTGCATTACAGCCGGTGCCGTTCAAAGCCTACTTATTTAAAGCGGGCGAATTTTTATATACTCTATATCTCGAAGGGGAATCGAGCAAAATATCAAATATTTTTGGAAAGGTAATTTTAAATTCTTTTCAATAAATTAAAAATATACAGGGTGTCCTATATAAAAAATCAAATTTTCTGTTGATAATTCTTAAATTATTAATTTTAGAAAAATTATACTTAAACCATTAAATTCTACGTAAAAAGGTGCTTTGGAAATGTTTTCATAAAAATACAAAATTTTCCATAGCAAAAAAGTTACAGCGATTTGTTAAAAATGCATATTTTTTTTAATAAATATCTTAGACTTCACGAAGATAAAACTTATGAATAGAATTAGAATGTTTGAATTCAATGTTTTATAAAATTTCAGTAGACCCAAGGAAATTTCGCGAAATCTGGCAACGCCGCGCGACGTTTAAACGACGGTCGGCGTCGGCAACGACGACGCCCGAGCCGACAAGGCCGCCCGCGATCGGCGCCGTCTCCAAAACCGTGCCTTTTTCTCCTGCTGCTACTGCGATACATTATTTGCAATTTTTTCAAACGTCAGAAACCGAACACAAAATATCGCACTTTTAACCGTTAGTTACCACATCGATATCGCATTCCTGTAGCGGTTTTTTTTTCGTTTTCGTTGTGTTTGTTCACCGTTTCACAATTTTTCTGCACCGTAACCTGAACGCTATGATACGCTCGGGCCTAAAAAACGAGCGGTGGCACTGCACCGAATAGACGCAATCTCGTGAAACATATGGAACTTTGATATGGGACATTACGCTGCTGGGGTAGAGCAGTGACACTGCAGCAAAATTTTTAGAAAATTCTTTTGAAGACTAATGAAGTCCATCATTAGTCTTCAAAAGTTTCAATATATTTGGTAAAATAATGACGAAATTGCACTACAACTCGTTAGCGCTAAATAATAAATAAATACAACAGCAATAAAAATATGGTGAAGAACAAGGAAATACAAAGGCTCAAAGCTAAGTCATAATACAAAGGGGAATTAGGATAAGGGCATATGCAGACGACGTGGTAAAATTGATCGTTGGCAAAGACTTGCAGACGATCAGTGACATCATGGAATCTGCTCTGAAGAAGTTAACGGAATGGGCAAAAAGGAATGGTTTGGGCATCAACCCAGACAAAACCGAACTCATTCTGTTTACAAGAAAATTCAAGATACCCAAGTTCACGCTACCAAAGCTGGAAGGGAAGACACTTGTACTTGCTAAGGAGACAAAATATTTAGGAATCATGCTGGACTCGAAGCTTTCCTGGAAAAGGAAAACGGAGGAAAGGATGATAAAGGGAATAAATGCATTTTATGCATGTAAAAAACTATTTGGAAAGAGATGGGGTCTGCAACCGTACATTATACACTGGATGTACACTGCTATAGATAGACCAATCATCACTTATGGAGCACTAGTATGGTGGGAAGCGGTACTTAAAGAGACTAATAGAAAAAGCCTCACAAAAGTATAGCGATTAGCAGCTCTAGGTACAACTGGAGCAAGGAACAACACAGCGCAAGCTGCGCTAGAAGCAATTCTGGATTTGCAATCAATCGACTGGCTCGTGAAGGATCTGGCCGCTAAGGGTGCCCTAAGGTTAAGGGAATCCAATTTGTGGAACCAGACCAACTACGGTCACGCGAGGATATTGCCAGTGATAGGAAAAATCATGGTGAACACGAGTCCACATCTGCTAGACCAGAAAACGACTATATGCTCACCAAACATGATTTTGGAGAAAAGATAAGGATTCGCATCCCGACAAGAGAAGAATGGGAAAGCAACCGAGTAATGAACACTCAAGAGATAGCAGTCTACACAGATGCTTCCGCAAATTCAGGGGGCACAGGTATAGGCATATTCTCAGGGGAACTAGACACCCCACGATCTTTAAGGCTATCGGATGGCTGTAATGTTCTACAAGCAGAGGTTTACGCCATAAAGGAAGCGGCTAGTTGTATACGAGAGATAATTGCTGATAGACCAATAGGGGATATAGTGATATACTCTGACAGCTTGGCCGCTTTAAGAAGCATCACCATGCAATTAGTGAGATCGAAAACTGTGATGGAATGCCGAGAAGCACTGTCCTGGCTGCGTCGGGGCGGGACTACTCTGTGCTGGGTGCCAGGCCACAGCAATATGGTGGGCAATCAGGAAGCAGACAGACTCGGCAAAGACGGGGCCAGGGGAGAGGCCGTGGCAGATGACCCACCACTTGTGATGATCAACACACTGAAGGAGGCTATAGGAACTGCCATCAAAGCCAAGCAGCAAGAGACGTGGCAACACCGTGAGGACTGCGCTACAGCTCGAAGACTATGGCCAGTGGTAGATAGCAAAAAGACAAAACAACTACTAGAGCACAAAAAGGACCTAGTACGCATAATTGTAGGTGTCGTCACTGGAAACTGTCCCACGGGGGTAAAGCTCGTAAGATGGAAAGTTTCCGACGACGACTACTGCAGAGAATGCGAGCAAGCGAGAATGAGCACCTGCTGTGCCACTGTCCGGCACTGGAATATCGACGCTTTAAAACTTTAGGGCAAGGTTTTTTGGAGGGACTAGAGGAAGCAGCAGAAGCCAACATCAGCGACATCGGGAACTTTGCAAAGAGCTGGAAGTGCTTTAACGCAAAGAAAGAATGAGAGGAAGGTTTGGTAAAACAATACAGGGGTATCGCAATGGGCCTAAGGCCTCCGAGTGAGATGATCCCAAATCCCAGCAACTACGGTCACCAACCCCAGCAACCTATCTAACCTATTGTGGTTTTTAAGTCTCCGTTGAAGAAATTCGCTCGAAAATTTCTGGCAACACTGGTGTAGATTTAAAAACGGGATAAACAAAATAGGCCTTAAAGGTCGCAGAGTCTCTTAATATTGAAAAAAAAACACACGATATAATATTGTGATTGAAACATAACTTAGGATGTGTCTAAGTTTTTATAAATATCCCTCGTATAGAAACAATACAAAATTCGACTAAAAACTGTGTAAAAAATCCGCACTTCGTAGCAATATCAAATTATTGTCTATCTTGTAACTTTTATCCGCTTTGTCTGGTTTGCCCTCTATATGCTGAGGAGTGAAAGTCTACCTTTGTTAACAAAAGGCGCAAGCAAGCGACCAACCAACCAACGGCAACGCAGAGCTATTTTGCAATTTGCTACGAATATTTTTGTGCAACGTATTGGACCTTAGGTGTTTGTTCGATATTATTATAAACTCGACAATCTCTTTGTCGTTTTTTTTTTCTTGATTTGCGTCGTACGATAGTTGTTTTTCCTTGTCACATATATCAGATTTAATAAGTTGTTTGATTAGTTTGGTGTTGTATTATTCGTTTTTTCTTTGGAATGATTTGAAGTTTTTATGTCCAACCACAATATATAGATGTAGATTATATCTGAGAGTATAAGTACGGTTCTGAGACGGTTTCACAGACACTGTGTTCTCTATCTCCGATATCGGTCGTACCAATGTTTATGATTATGATGAGGTGTTCTGGTATTTTCCCATTTTCTCCATAGAATCTGCATTCACCGTTATTTCTTAGTTTCAATCTAATGAGGTGTTCATTGAGGAGACAAAGTCCTGAGAAACTTTTTTGAGTGTCTTAGACTGTTGTAGGATTTCCAATCCATGTCAGGGATGGAATCTTTCAGGTTTTTTAGTACCGCTGTCCACTTGGGAAGCAGAACAATTCTAGGCATTGTTGATACAAGAAAAATTTTGATTGTGCAGAACTTGACCATAAAAAAGCATTGTATGAACGTAGCATAAGACATGCGTTGGCCAACTTTTAAAGC